CTGAAGCAATGACAGCCAACCTAGCAAAGGCCCCATCCCAGGATGAGACCTTCAAAATAATCAAGGAAATGGGGGGATGAAAGCACTAGGGAATGATGGATTTCATGCCTCTTTTTATAAAAAATGTTGGAGTAATGTAGGGGCAGATTTCTATTACCATTTGGTTGCTTGTTTCAGGAACCCGGACCGTAGTGCTGCTGCCAAAGGTGGACAACCCGAAGCAAATATCCCAGGTTCATCCGATTGGTCTATGCAATGTGAGCTATAAAGCTATGGCGAAATGTCTAGCTAATAGGCTCAAAGGGTTCATGCCGCAACTTATAGATCAGAACCAGACTAGCTTCATGCCTAAGAGGGCACATCACCGACAATATAATCATCCTGCAGGAGGTAGTGCACACAATGTCAATCCGGACAGGAGCTAAAGGAAGCATGATCCTGAAGATTGATCTCGCCAAAGCATACGACAAGATTAATTGGACGTTCCTTGAGTCGACTCTCCTGGCAGCTGGAATTCCTAATGATTTTGTCAAACTCGTTATGGCATGTGTAACTACTACATGTTTTCAGGTGTTGTGGAATGGCGACTGCACAGAACTCTTTCAACCGTCGAGGGGCCTTCGTTAGGGATGTCCCCTCTCCCCATACTTGTTTACTCTTCGCACGGAACTCTTTCAACCGTCGAGGGGACTTCGTCAGGGATGTCCCCTCTCCCCATACTTCGTCAGGGAAACCGATTACCTTGTTTAAGGATGGACCGCCTCTCACCCACTTTTTTTTTGCAGATGACCTAGTGTTATTCACCGAGGCCAACCAGAAGCAGGGAGAAGAAATCTTGGCTTGTCTAGATCGATTCTCTGGGGTATCCGGGGAACGAGTCAACAAGGACAAGTCTTGTATCTATTTTTCCAAGAATACAAGGGAGCAACTTAAGACAAGGATCAGTGACACGTTGGGAATGCAATGCACCAATAATCTCGGCCGCTACTTAGGTGTTCCGGTGCTTTATGGTAGGGCCACCAAGGATACGTACAAGTACATCTTGGAGAAGATTGACCAGCGACTTTCGGGTTGGAAGGCTAGAAGTCTTTCGTTGGCACCTGGTTGTCTCTGTTCTGAACGCCAATCCTAACTATGTGATGCAGACGGCAGTCCTTCCTACCATTGATAGGAAAATACTGGCTTTCATTTGGGGAGCAGAGAAAGGTCATTACAAGGCTCATTTGGTGAAGTGGGAAACCAATTGTAAACCGAAGGAGGAAGGAGGCCTCGGGTTAAGATCAGCCAGGGCGCTGAACCTCGCATATCTTATGAAACTTGGATGGGCTTTCCTGAACAAATTCGATGACTTGTGGATTAGGGTGATGCAAGGAAAATATTTTAAACTTAATGCTGCAGGCGACCTGGTTATGAAGAAGAGCAATTTTTCAAGACTCTTGAAAGGGATCGTGGAGTCCTGGACGATCATCAAGGAACGGATTGTGTGGGATATCCGTGAGGGCCGTAATGTCCAATTCTAGACTGACCCATGGCTGGCCGAAGGTCTCACCCTGCGGGATCACGTTATTAACGACGGGGAAGGCATAAATTGGCACGCCACTTTGGCGGATATGGCCACTAATGAAGGTGAGTGGAAATGGAGGGAAATTGAACCTCATCTGACTCAGCATTTTATTTCCTTTATTGCAGGTACGGATCCACCGGTGGAATGCTCGGGAGAAGATATCACGGCATGGAGGATGGAACCTGACGGGAAATTTAAACTTTGCTCCGCCTACTATGTTGCTGTCGATTGGATTGGCTACACGGATCTCAGAACGGATGAGGAAGCCCCTCAACCCCATTGGAAGCGGCTTTGGAAATGGACAGGACCAAACCGAATTAAGCATTTTCTCTGGCTTGTCTTCCATGACAGGTTGATGACAAATGCGGAACGGAAGAGGAGGAAGTTGACAAACAACGACGCCTGTACCATTTGCAACAACGGGGCGGAGACAATTGAACACATCCTGCGTGTTTTCCTTAGCTCACAACAAGTATGGCACATGTTGGGGATAAATGGCACTCTGCTTACTTGCGGCCTTGATTTTACAGCTTGGCTAGAGTCACACCTTGGGAGCGATCAGGAAGGACTCCTCTTTGGAGTGGCATGCTGGTACCTCTGAAAGAGATGGAACGAGAAGACTTTCCACAATTTGACTCAGGAAGACCACATACTGGCGCATCGGATCAGGTGCTGGACCAATACAATCCGCAATGCTCAACATAGCGATAAGGCGTCCCACGAACAGCCCCAGGCGAAGGCACCTCAGCATCTGGCGTGGAAACCGCCCGCGGAAGAGTGGATGAGCATAAACACTAACGGGTCGGTCAAGCAACCGGGATCGCTTGCTGCAGCGGGAGGATTGATCCGTGACTGGACAGGACGTTGTGGAGAATCTCAACGTGTGCACTATCACCAGAGCCGAGATTAAGGCGGCGATTCGTGGCCTTCAGGTGGCTTGGAGGAAAGGTTACCGCAAGGTCCACCTTCAATTGGACTCTACCAGTGCTATCAATATCCTCCCCTCCCCGAATCAGATAGAGCACAGATATTTCAACCTGGTCCAACAATTCAAGGGACTAGTTCAGCAAAACTGGGAAGTTAAAATTTCCCATACCTACAGAGAATGCAACAAGGCCGCGGATTTCCTGGCCAATAGGGGTCACGGTGTTAGCATAGGTTTCCATGATTTTAGGATCAATGATCCGGGTTTATCTTTTTGGATTTTGTATGATACCTTGAGCATTGCTCAATCTCGCTTAATTTAAGTAGCAGGCAGGGGCGCCCTTTTAACGCCCCATTTTTCTACAAATAATAAACCAGTTGAAAGATCGACTCTAACTAGTTGAAGAAAAGTCAAAATAGGAGAAATATGTATAGATATTTTAAGAAATTGAAGTAGAATGTGTGAAGAATGAAACGGGACGGGACAGGGTGGGTCGGTATTAGATACCCATGCCTCGCACCACGTTACTACGGATCGGGTAATACCCGTCCCATCGCTGGTCAGAACCCACGGGACGGGTTCAAATTACCATCACTAACAAATAATATATATTCTTCTCTCTTGCCAATATTCTAACTACAAAAGCATCTGCCCATCCTATCCAGATCTTTCCTAGATCACTTTTCACATAATTATCCTCAAACTGGTACTCTTGCAATTTCTTCCTAGCCTTTAAGACCTTGATAGGATTCACCCTTGTGTCTAGGGATGGCAACAAAACCCGAATCCACGGGTACCCACCCGACCCAACCCGATCAACGCGGGTAAAACCCGTGTTGACGGGTTTCGAGCCGAGTTTGGGTTTAAACCCGTTCACTATTCATCGGGTTGGGTTGGGTTTTGGTTTAGGTGTACCCGACTCATGGGTACCCGCCCACACGCATATAATCAATTTTCCTGGTATATTAAATATTATAAGCAATTAATTTTCTTTATGTTTGTGGAGACATATCTAATTTTTTTCTTTCTAATTGTGTAGAATGAAGTTGATATTGAGTGTAGAGTGTGAAGGAGCTTAATTGATGAGGAAGAAACTTTCAATTAATCATGTTGTTTATATATAATTTTTTATTCGCTTCAATTTTCTCTAGTTTTTTAGATTGATGTTGAACAATTTGTATGGTTAATTTGTGATTTGCTTGAATTTTCTAGAATGGTGTTTTATATATGGATTATTTGTATTGAGATATTGATATTTGACTTTTATTTTGATAAAAATTTGTTATTGTAAATTTTTTACGACAAACCCATGGGTACCCATGAACCCGCGGATACCCAGCGGGTTGGGTTGAGTTTGAGTTTTTCAAACCCAGTGGGTTTTTTTACCCCGGTTTTTTTCACGGATAAACCCATGGGTTTGGGTTTGGCAAAACCCAACCCAACCCGACCCATTGCCATCCCTACTTGTGTCTACTAATGCGAAAAGTTGAACCTTATACTTACGTAGATACTGCAACATTACATCTTGCTTCGAGTATTTTTTCTATTTTCCTCTTTTTATATTTTATTCATTTTAGATGAAATAATAAATAAAAATTGATATTAAAAATTAATTCGCGTAGTTAACATATAATTTTTTGTTAATTACTAACGGTCAATACTAAAAAAAACAAGTTCAAATAGTATTTTCATATAGGACACAAATGACATTGGATAATTTAATATCACTTATATTCACAAATCTAAACATGTTCGATCCAATTATGATCCTAATTTTTTCTTTACTTTTGTTCCGGTTCTATCTCAACTTAAGCCGGTTCTAAACCAAATCAATAATATCAGCTCCTACTTTGTATTAACAAGCCGAAAAGGTAGAAAGACGAAACAAAACACAGAAGATAAAGAGACGATAGAGCATACAGGCTACAATGTAATTTACTAAGCGATCGTTTGGAGTTTGGGATTCTCCAAATTGAAGTATTTAATTAATTTGTGTAATGTAATTTGATGTATTGGTGAAATGTATGGATTTTAAAAATATATTGTTTGGAGATTTAGATTATGCTTTGCTACAAATAAAAAAGTAGAGGGTAGACAATCTTTTGGGCACAATCTCACCTTTTGGTAGAGATTGACAATCACTCATTTTGAGTGATTGTAGGTGGGCTCGGAAAAAGGTAATACATGTATTCTGTCACAAATTTAATCAACAAAATGAGTGATTGTAGGTGGGCTCAGAAAAAGGTAATACATGTATTCTGTCACAAATATAATCAACAAAACGACTTAATCTTGACATTAAATGAATTAGCTAAATACATCGTTTGAAATCTCAACCTTCAAATTACTCCTAAATTGCAACTGGTCGCCAACCAGACATCATAAACACCCGCAAAACAGAAACATAATTAATTTCCCGTAAGACTAAAGAAAATCTTTGCATTAAGAAAATCCGTAAGCAAAAAAATAATTAAATTAAATAAATTAAGGAAGCGGTAAGCCGGCAACTCATCAGTCATCCCAAAATCTCGCATACTTGTGTTGTGTAGAAGGCACTGAATCAAAAGTCAAAACTCTTGGAGGGAAGGAACGAGTGGAAATATGAAGGTGCAAATTTTGACCCAGACCTCGACCCGGCCCCACATTCCACCACCACCATAGAACCGCGTCATTCTTCCGCTTCTTTCTCCTGCTATATATACTCTCTTCCACCATCCCCATATTATAAGCCTTCCAGTTCAACAAAAATCCCCCCATTGGCATATGTCTCAGAGACCTTTCGTGCCTCACTCCTCCTCCATAGCTTTCAGCTTGCATTCCCATTTCCTCGTCTCCAGCGACCTCAGCCCCAACTGGCTTCTCTGATTTCCAATTTTTTCCACTTAGATCCATTTTTGCTCCCTCTCCCTACCAATTTTTTTGTAGAGCAATTTAGGTTTTTTCCACCAAATTCTTTGTAGCAATGGGCGTCAAGGGATTCGTTGAGGGCGGAATCGCTTCCATCATCGCCGGCTGCTCGACCCACCCGCTGGATCTAATCAAGGTCCGAATGCAGCTGCAGGGCGAGAGCTTGGCTGCTCCCAACCCTGTCCTCCGCCCAGCCTTCGCTTTCAACAACGGCGGTGCCATATCCGCCATCCACGTGACTGCCGCTCCACGCCCGTCCGTGGGTCCCGTCGCCGTCGGGATGAACATCCTCCGCCAGGAAGGACCGGCGGCGCTGTTCTCCGGCGTCTCCGCCACCGTCCTCCGGCAGACCCTCTACTCCACCACCCGCATGGGCCTGTACGACGTGTTGAAGACCAAGTGGACCAACCCGGAGACGGGGAACATGCCGCTGGTCAGGAAAATCACGGCCGGGCTCATCGCCGGCGGAATCGGCGCCGCCGTGGGGAATCCCGCCGACGTGGCGATGGTGAGGATGCAGGCCGACGGGAGGCTCCCCGCCGCTGCGAGGCGGAACTACACGAGCGTGGTGGACGCGATTGGGTCGATGGCGAGGAAGGAAGGGGTGGGCAGCCTGTGGCGCGGGTCGTCGCTGACGGTGAACCGGGCTATGATCGTGACCGCGTCGCAGCTGGCGTCGTACGACCAGATAAAGGAGTCGATTCTGGAAAAGGGCGTGATGGGGGACGGGCTGGGGACGCACGTGACGGCGAGCTTCGCGGCGGGGTTCGTGGCGTCGGTGGCGTCGAACCCGGTGGATGTGATAAAGACGAGGGTTATGAACATGAGCGTGGAGGTGGGGAAGGCGGCGCCGTACAGCGGGGCTTTGGACTGCGCGATTAAGACGGTGAGGGCGGAAGGACCCATGGCTCTCTACAAGGGATTCATCCCTACGATTTCGAGGCAGGGACCTTTCACTGTGGTGCTGTTCGTGACGCTTGAGCAGGTCAGGAAGCTGCTCAAGGATTTCTAAACAGAACCAGCCTCTGATGATGATGACGAAGAAGTTAAAGATAGTTTCAATTCTATTCTTAATTGATTAATTAATGGGTTTGATTATGATTATGGTTTGTTGTTGTTGCTGCTGAGATTGTAAGACTAGCAAAAGTCTGGAGGTATATGTTGCGAGTTATTGGTGATGAATTGGAAACTGTGGATTGTGGCTTGTGTGTTGTTCTGAATTAATTTGGTACGATAGAGCTTAATCTTGTACTTGGTTACTGAATATCTTCTTTCACAAATAAAATTCATGTGAAACTTGGGCCGGCACGACGAGTCATCGGAAGGCCAAAGGGGGAAAGGAAGGGAATATGGAAACGCAAAGGTCAAAACGCGATTTGGTGAGAAAGGAAGGGGTCAGGTCAGATCAGATGGACAGCTCTGTCTCTCTCTCTCTCTCACAGTCACACAGCTGTTAGCCTGTTATTGTGTGATTGTGAACACAAACGCGGAGTGGCGATGGGCGGCCCTTGTTGCTTGGCAGGTTGGGTTTGGGTTGGCACAATGGAATGGAATGGAATGGAATGAAAGTGTCGACGGTTCATTACTTGGCGGAGTGTGGCAGGAACGTGGCATGCTTTCATTAGTTTACTAATTAATTAAGTCCTACCACCATTCTTTCTCCAACCAACGTCATCAAAATCCCACTACCATAATAAAATATTGAAAAAAATAAAACTTGTTCTGGCTCGAGGGTTTGCTTGTCCTGTCTGTCTACTCTTCTGCGGCTGGAAGAACTCTTCGAACACTGTTTTTTGACTTGTCGAATTGCCGGGGCTCTTGGGAACTTGTAGTTTTTGTTCACATTTTTTAATCCAGTTTAAAACTCACATGTGGATGTTGGATGGCGGAGTTTGTTTTGTTTTTAACGGTGAAATCCGCTTGTATATCTCATAACTAGGGCTGTCAACCGGTCGGTTTCGGTTTAACCGAAAACCGAAATCCCGGTTATCGGTTAAACCGAGCCACCCTACATGCTTGCCGACCACCGACCGTGAGGGTGGTCATGGTTAGCCGTCCAACCAACCGGTCGGTTTCAATTTTAGGCTCGATTAGCCGGCCAACCGGAAAATGCCCTTTATAAAAAAAAAAAAAAATTAAAAGGAACAAAATTCTGAACCACTCATTCCTCACCCTCTCACTTCACTTCTCGATTCTTCTTCTTCTTCCTATCCACTTTCACCATCTCGATTCTTCTTCTTCCTTCTCTCCTTCCTCCATGTCATACCCACCACTCCTTCCTTCTCCCTCCTTCCTTCTTCCATTTCAGATCTGGAAACACAGAGCAGAGGCGCGGCGGCGGCGAGTGGAGGCAGAGGCGCGGCGGCGACGAGTGGAGGCGGCGGCGAGTGGAGGCGGAGGTCGAGCGGCGAGGCGACGATGGTGGAGGCGGCGCGGCGACGTCGACGATGGTGGAGGCGGCGGTCGTGAGGCGGCGCTGGTCGTGAGTCTCGTGACAGTTCTTCTTTCTTCTTCTTCTTCTGGTTTTTCAAGGTCTTCTGGGTTTGAGAGGTGAAAGGGAAGAGAAGAGAGAAAGAGGATGACGGAAGAGAAGGGTTAGGGCGTTAGGCTCTGTTAGGGTTTGGGGAGGGGGTCGGTTTGAGGGGGGGGGGGGGGGGGGGGGGGGGTCGTTTGAGAAGGGGGGCGAGTCGTTTTGGTTAGGCTCGGTTAGTCGGCTAACCGCCGGTTTTCAACCTCGGTTGGTCGGCTAGCCGAGCCTTCTCCCCTTGCTACCGATGACCGACCGATGCCATTGGGATCGGTTTTTCGGTTAGCCGAAAACCGGACGGTTCGGTTGAAACCGTCCGGTTAGCCGCTAACCGGAAAACCATCCGCCAGCCCTACTCAAACTCGAGAATAGAGATGACAACAAAACTCGAACCCACGGGTACCCATCCGACCTAACTCGGTCAACGCGGGTAAAATCCGTGTTGACGGATTTTGGGCTGGGTTTGGGTTAAAACCCGCTACACTATTCATTGGGTCAGATTGGGTTTGGGTTTAGATAAACCCGCCCCATGGGTACCCGCCCACACACATATAATTACTTTCCCGGTATATTTAAACAACTAATATTCTGTATGTTTGTGGAGACATGTATAATTTGTTCTTTCTAATTGTTTAGAATGAAGTTTGATATTTTGAAGTGGAGAGTGAAGAAACTTAGTTGACGAGGAAGAAGCTTTCAATTAATCTTATTGTTTATAGATGTTTATCTTTAATTTTGAACAATTTGTATTGATCATTTGCGGTTTGCTTGTATGCTCTAGATTGGTGTTTTTTTGTATGAATAATTTGTATGAGAAAATTGATGTAACTTTTATTTTGAAAGAAACTTGTTATTGTAAATTTTTTACCACAAAACCCACGGGTACCCATGAACCCGCGGATACCCAGCGGGTTGGGTTGGGTTTGAGTTTTTCAAACCCAACGGGTTTTACCCCGGGTTTTTGTGGCGGATAAACCCATGGGTTTGGGTTTGACAAAACCCGCCCCAACCCGACCCATTGCCATCCCTACTCGAGAATGACTCGAACGATTATAGAAGGCTAAATTGTAAGTTTGGTCACTACTATTAAAGTTCACGTTGCCCACTCAAATTACTTTATTTCATCTGTAGTCACTTAAATTAGGTTAACAGTTCAAGATCACTGGCCGTTAGTCTTCGTTAACTTTTGCTGATTTGGCGGTCAACTCTCATAGTTGATCGTTAAATGAGTGATCGTGAGGCCATGCTTCAAGAAGTTCACCGTCGTTGCCCGGTTCTTTCCCGGTGGGTAGAGTTTTGTTACTCTACCCGTGCCCACTGTATTATGGGGAGCATAACTTATGGTCTTACCGGGGGTTCAGCAGGGGGACCCTTTGGGCCCTTTGCTTTTTGCTTTGGTGTTGCATCCTCCAGTGTGTAAGATAAGAGACTAATACGTCCCTAGGGTGTATGTTATCAAAGTCACGCAGCTAACGACTCAATCGAAGGATCGATTGAGCTCGAATCAAGAACGAAACGTCCTTAATACGAACTTGGATAAAACGGAACCAAAAGTGCAATTCCACACATGCGGAAAGGCTCGATTGGTATAATGATAGATGCCCGGCCACGATCAACACGTTCTTGATCGATACAAGAGCTCAACGAGTTTGGAATCCACCAAAGCTCACACAAGTACGCAAACTTGTAAAAACCCAAAGGTTTCGATTTCTATTCAACAACGTCTCCATTTTTACAATGAAATATAACGGTATTTAAAGGCAAATAAAACCTAATACAATCATATTAGAACTAGGAAACAATTAAGGTAAAATTCTACACTAAAAAGGACACAAAATTCGGGTTTAAACTTCCTTTCTTGAGGCACAAGTAAGCTGCCAGCAAACAATCAAAAAGCAGCTTTCGTACTAACTTCACACCTTTCGTTCGAGGCCTCCCAGAACTCTGATCTTTCATCTGATTTCTTCCCTTGGTAGATAAACATTCCTAGTTTCATGTTGTAGAATCCTTTGGTCTCGAATCAGATCCATGCTCCTTGAATTGAGCTCCAAAGTAGGCTTCACAAAACAGTTTCCAGACTTGACCATTTTCTGGCAGTTTTCCAGTTTTGAGGTAGCAACTTTGAGGCCTTGGAAAACAACCTTAATGACATCATATGGATCCAAAAAGCATACCATTGGAAATATGGAAACTTGATCTTCAAACAAACCCTTAAAGTTGAATTTCCACCAAGCCAATTGAGAGAACCATGCCTCCAAAGTATGTACCCTGAACACAGATTTTGACTTAGCCAAATTCTGCCCTTCTTCTTCCCAACTTCGATAGCTTCTTTGTCAAGTAATTGTGAAGTGAATGGTTGGTAATTTGGGATCATATCAGAGACTCCTTTGACCTGAGTTTGCATGCGTAGTATTTGAATGATGGCACTATTGTAAGAGACACTTTGGTTGCAGGGAAAGTCTTAGACATGATTATGGATGAGGGCCCTCGATTTGGGCCTCACCTAAATGTGGATAAGACGTAGATTTTTTGGACTACTGAGGGTCCTAGGATTCGACTTTTGGGTGTTTTTCCTGCTTCTATTGCTCGTCCTTCTCATGGTGTCACTATTCTGGGTGGGCCTGTCAGTACTTGTCCTAATTTTAGCTTTGACCTCATGGCGAAGAGAGTTACCAGGACTATTGAGCTGATGGACTTGGTTGCGAGGATTGATGACCCACAAGGTGAGCTACTTTTGCTTCGGGCTTGCACTGGTATTTCGAAACTCTATTTTGCTTGGCGTACTTGCTCCCCTAGTGTTTTTCCGACCCAGCTCTCTTTTGACACAGCCCTTCGTTCCAGTTTAGAACGTATTTTACTGCTTCTGGGCCAGGGTTCGGTGATTGGCAGTGGCGACTTGCCACCTTCCCTTTTCATTTAGGTGGGCTTGGGGTTTATGCTGCTCGAGATGTCCTGCATTATGCTTTTTCGGCATCTCGTCTACAGTTTACAAGGTTGCAGGCTAAGCTACTATGTTCTTCTGGTATTCACTCTCCTTGCCCTGCTTTTGATGATGCCCTACGCACATTCAATGAGTTTACAGGTTCTGATATCTTACGTGACCGTAGCGAAGTTGCTGCCCCAAAACTTATGAAGAAATTGGCAGACATATATTTCGCGAAGGTTGCTGCTTCTTCAGACTCTGTTTTCTCGTTGACTACGCAGCAGGTTGCTTTGTAAAAGTCTTAGCAGAGTGCGCACTCTTGTGATTGGTTGCATGCTGTCCCTATTGTTGGGTTGGGCTAGACTATGAATGGAAGGACATATCGTAGTGTGCTTAGTTATCGACTGGGTGTCCCGTTATTTTTTGTATCTAGGCCCTGTTTTGCTTGTTCCTGTGTCTTTGATGGCAATGTCTTTGGGGATCATGTTGTGTCCTGTGCTGGTATTGTGGGCATTAAGCATCGACATAGCCTTGTTCCAGACACCTTACTGGACATCTGTTACAAGTCTGGGATTTCTGTCGGAAAGGAGGTTGATATCCGTTTGGTTGATTGGCATGACAAACCCCTTCATCCTGCGGATTTGCTGCTTTCTTCATGGGATAGGGGGCGAGATGTGTGTATTGATCTGAATGGGTCTTCCCCTTTGATTCAGACTAGGATGACCGATTTTGTGCCGGGCCGAGTTGTAGCTGATGTCGCGCTCGGCGAAAGTTTGTTGAGTATCGGGAATTGTGCATGACGGCTGGTTAAAGGTTCCTGCCCTTTTCTTTCTCTTCGCTGGAGGAGTTGGATACGGATGTTGTGGCTTTGCTTAAGCGCATTCATAAATTCTCTGTGCTTCATGATGCGGGGGCTCGGACGGCCGCGTACATTTTCAATAGACTTAGCTTTGCTATCGCTAAGAGAGTGAAAGCACAGATTGTATCTAGGATGCCCACTAATTTCCTGTAGACCTTTTATTTTTATTCCACTACTGAATAATATTTATATCTTCTCTTAAAAAAAAAAAAAATTTGTAATCTCTCTCTCCCTCTCGCTCTAGAGCTTTCTGTTAAGTGTTAAGCGTTTTCTTCTCCGCCGTGCAACTTTTTTTCAAAGCTAATAATTACCTACGACGGAGCAGCAGACGCCATCGCCGAGGTGGAGCAGGTCTCCTTGTTCGCGATGGATGACTTGAGATCCATTGCTGAGTGCATGATCTCTGCGGGCTACGCCTAGGAGTGCGTTGGAATTTACAAAGTGATTCGAAATTCGATCGTCGACGAAGGGATCTACCGACTCGGAGTGGAGCAGGTCGGCTCGCTGAGTAGGATGAGTTAGGAATCGATCGAGTTGCGGGTCAAGTCCTGGCTCGAGGCGGTTAAGGTTGCGGTACATGCGCTGTTCAACGGGGAGCATATCCTGTACGACCACATCTTTGCTGCATTCGATTCCGTCAGGGAGTCCTGCTTCGCGGAGATCTCCTGACTCGGCGAGTCGGCTCGTGCCATGCTGGCTGAGTTTGAATCGACGATCCACAAGGACAAGGACCATTCCTCCAAATTTCCGGTTACAGTGGAAGGCGGGCTCCACCAGCTGATGAGTTACGTCACCGACTACCTTGCCCTCCTCGCCGACGACTACAGCTCTGTCCTCGCAGACAATCTGTAGAACTGGCCTCGTCCTCGTCGCCAGATTAATCCTTCTTCGACAGCCCGCGATCCGACGATGACCTCAGGAGCCGACTTTGCCCGTCCGGTTCGCAATTTTTCTTTTCTCTTTGGTGGCTGATTATGTCTGTTTTTTATTTTTTAATAATTTTGATAATGAGGTGGAAAGTAAAAATAATTATATTTTATTTTTTTAAATATCATGTCACTCATTTAATGGTCAACTATGAGAGTTGACAGCCACATAAGCAAAAGTTAACGGAGACTAACGGCCAATGACCAAACTTAGACTATTAACCTAATTTAAGTGACTACAGATGGAATAAAGTAATTTCAGTGGCTAACGTGAACTTTACTAGTAATTCAAGTAACTAAATTTGCAAGAAAGGGTGCAATTACATTAAGAATAGTCTACCAGTAATGAGGGAGTTGGTTTTGGGCATACGAACGAGCGACCTAGTACGCTTTGACAAATCTCACTTTGACGCTTGGGAATTTTGTGGGACTGCCCACCGTAATTCCAATCCAACCTGCTTACCCTCCATGTCCAACTAATTGAAGATTGTTTAATTGCTTTAACCAGAGTGATGCAATCCAAAATACAGTGCTAGATCGATAGCTATTTTAAGCAAGAGAAAATCCCCTCTAATAATGCTTTCGCTTCAGATTCCAATGTTGAATTACAGAGCAATAAGTCAGCTCTCACGTCACAAATTAACATTGACTATTGGTGATAATACACCGTACTAGCTTTTTACCCGGCCCGTTGGCCGGAGAGATTTATTTTATAATTTATATGTTTAAATCATTTTGGATCTTCTAAATATTTTGTAACAGAGTTTGTGGTATGTCTATATTGAAATTTTCAATATTTAGCACACTCACTTGTGATGCTTCGGTTTTCGAATCATAAATTATGCCGCTGTCACGTCCCGTTTAGAACTTATGTCAAAATTTGTAAACCAAAACACTAATATTTAGCGTATGCCAACCTAAACCACACACGCATATATATAGTTCAAGCTAGCGTGCGCGAGCAGTACATTATACTCTTGCGTTCATACTACCATACGACCATTGAGTTTTACTATTTAGACCCGAATTAACCGGATTTTTTGGGGTATTATACTATACCCTAACCTCTAATAGGTGAACTCTAGTCCCTAATTCTGTAACCTCTAATTTATGCACATACTTCGTAATACCTATCTTCTATCGTATCTTGAGTTAAATAAAAAGTATAGTATACCTTGATATTACATATACATGTATATATATGTGTGTATGTATATTATACTCAAAATTATCTAAAGATCTCGCTTTTACCCCCATAACGCCAGAGAACCATTGGGTTGTCTATTGTTCGATATATAATATATAAAAAGGTAGGGATGACGGGATCATAGCTCGATATGGTTTTATTATGTTCATCTTATCAGAGGTTATGTTCTTTTTTGCTTTTTTTGGCTTCTTTTTCATTCTACTTTAGCACCTATGGTTGTGATCAGAGGTTTTTAGCCCTCGAAAGGGATTGGGATTTTAGGTCCTTTGGAAATCCAATACACATTCATGATCCTCGAGTTTGGACGAACTCTCGACCAATGTTGTAAAAATTACGACTTTTTAGTGAGAAATTCTTAGTAAAGATACTTCATTATTGGATTTATTCCTCCATATTGAAACTTGACACACATTGTAGCCCTCATGATGACTAAATTCTCTAATCTCGACTCATTTCCATTTTGGATGTTTGTTTTTTTTATCCAGACACTTAAATTTAGTATATTATATCATATGTATCCGTTGTTAATTTTTGAAGTTTATACTAAACCTCAACCGGCGGTCATTGTTTATATGTTGACTTAGAATCTCAATCTAAGGCATTCACACACACTATCGAAGATTTTTGGTCTTAACATGGTCGTTGAATGTATAATTTTCAAAGATTTTATCGTTTATATATTAATAATTGATAAAGAGTGTCTCCAATACACATATTTTAAGTGCATTTAAAATGTCTTATCATTTGAACAATATCAGTGTATTTCATTTGATTATTTGCATTAACTTATTATCTTATACAACATATATTAATTCGTTTTTCTCGAGTCTAGACGAACTGGAAACCAATTTTGAGAGTTGAGATTATTGGATAAAGATACTTGATTGCTGGATAAATATGTTTATCCCAATTGACGATCTTACTAAAAATTGCCAACCTTTATTTGGTAAATGCCTGTGTTAGTAGTTGATGAAACGTGATGTTTATCGTAGATTCTGAACAAAGATTTTTCTAACCTTCACATCTATTATTTTTCAAGGAATCTTGTGTCTCATCCTAGGGTATGAATTCAAAGTTCATCAACAATCATACTTAAGTCATTTTGAAAATTTTGATTTATAATCGTCGAAGATAACTCCAAGTCCGAAAGAAAATTTCTTAGCATACGACTTAGAACCTCAATAGAGCTTGCTCAATCAACATGATATAGAGCAAATATTATTAATGTGAACTTAGGTCACATTATCAAATTATTTCACATGCGATTCCTCTTCATTTGAGGAATTTAAGGTAGAACATGATCTGAATGAATAAGAATTTTTTTAAATAAATAACTGTAACTACTCGATCAAGATTATACTATGACATTTTGCTAAATAATACTGTTTTATTTTATAGATATATATTGTACGAATAAGATAGTGTTTCATTGCAACAAAATATAAAGTAATTTAGTTTATTTTTCAAAGGTAATTGAATGACAAATATTTATTTTCTCTCTTTTCATATATATTTTGGTTTAATCAATTAAAACATAATTGTTTATGTGTATGTTTGTTTATTTTTTTCATCAAAATGTAACTTCTCATTGAATTTTAGTAAAAATGAGTAGAAAATTTATTTCATAAGGTTTAATCAGATACTTTTTATTTAAATAAATGTGATATATGCCACTCTCTTTTTTCTTATTTATATTTTGTTTATTTAAAAAATTATTATTTATGTGTGTTTGGTTAAGTTTATCATCATGTAACTTATTATTAAAGACAAAAAAGAATAAATGGATAAATAAAAAAGAATAATTTGATAAAAGAAATGGAAATATTAAAGAAGAGAGAGGTAGCTCCATAAATACATTAATAACTAATTTTTTGTTTGTAAAAAAGTTGTCCAACTTGGCAAATTGTGGGTCCTCCAAGTGCTTATGTGGCAAGAATTTTTTTTTGAATTGCCATAATAGATAGATAGATAGATAGATAGATAGATTGCCGCATCCTGAGAGTCGTGAATAAACGCCCCATTAATGATATACTTATGTATTGCTTTTGAGCAGGCCGTGTTTGATGGATTCCACAGGGTCATTACAATTTACATATTGGGCATTCCATAGAAGGTGAGCAATGACTAGAGTGGAGGTTCTTCCTTGTTAGCAAGCCTAGCTTGGTCATAGATATAATGAAAGTCCAAGCTAACCGTAAAATTGCCTATGGTGGTATGTATGCTTCCTAGCCCATAGTGTTCTACTTCTGGTAGCCCACTTGGGGTACTCATGATTGTGTAGTTTGTTTTTGATTCATGACTTTCAAAGCTTGTTTTGGACCGACTTTTTTTTTTTGTATTGGAAATCTAGATGCTCCACAACTTATGACAACTTACAATTTCTACCTCCAACTTTAGACAGTTTTATGCGAGAGTTTTTTGTAATTGGATTTAGCTCATGCTCCTGTTGTTGCAACTTGCAAGGAGAGGGTCTCCAGATTGGTATGCCTTCTTCGTCCCCGAATTGAATCTCCCTTTGATTCCGAGTAATGCAATCTAGGTGCAGTTTCAAGGTGCCATTAAAGGAAGGGTGAGCAGTGGGTTCTTTGGGTTCACAGGAGAAAATGTATATCTTCTGCTTTTCACCGATATTAACCTCTCCTATACGACTCCTTTTCTCTTCTCTTGGCTATTCGTGATGCATTTGGTTGGTGTTGGAGCATTCTTACAATAATGTTTTATTTTATGGTGATGCACGTGTTCTCAATGGAATGGTCAACACGAAGGATTCGTTGCACGTGATGGGCGGATCTATCGTGTAGGAAATACATGTGTTACATTCATCATGTCATAGTGCAAGGTTTCAATTCACGCCTCGATGGTATAACAAGGTTGCTCATTCTATGGCAAAAAGCATCCCTTGCAACGTTAGATCGTTCACATGTCGACTAATGTTTCCTGTTCTTAATTCCATTTTTTTGACCTGACTTTCAAAGGTCATGTATATTCTCGTGTATATACTGTTTCCCCGCTGGAAACACCTAGAAAAAGGTCACGTAATGAAGAAAGAAAGGACCCCTAGAGAAGATAGCTTTTGAGATTGCGAATTTCTATCGTAGATTGCAGAGGTCACAAGCGATCTGTCACTGATTGCTGAAGATCTCAAATGATCTGTATAGATATTTGAGGTTTCAAGTGATCAGTGTGCGACATGCTGTAGATTGCTGAACCAACATAAGTGTTCACGTTCCTCAGTGCTTTGTCTCCCTGTTCTTAAAACATCAATGCAATATCTCATGCACTTTTTAATTTCTCTTTACCATCCTTAGTAGCTCTAACTGAACCAACAACTACAATTGATGCTTGATGTAGTATCTGGTGATAAATCCTAGGATGCCTTACTGTCGTATTTATTGAGGTCTTCTAATGCATAACTACTCACACCAACCATCGTGACATACACAAAATAAGCAAGCAAACAATAACAGTAAAGTTGTATAGGGGTTTTGATTTATAGATGCACAAAAGTAAAGGTATGTTATTGTAAGAGCTAGTGAACTCAAAGACTATCATGCAAGCTAGGGCTCATTCATATCATGTATCAATGGTTCATCTATTGTAAA